TTATTTACTATACTAATATTTTCACTGAAATGTGTTCAATATAGTTTCTGTATAGCATAGTAAAGCAGTCAAAGGTAAAACCCAACACCATATTGAGCGTCTTAAAGGCAAGTCATTAAAGGAACGACAACCTCACCAGGTCTCGCTCTTCCTTCACCTGGTCCCATTTTTGTATTAATTTTTTTTTAAATTTTAATTAATTTTATTATTTTTTGTATTAAGAGAAGCTTCATATAAATCCTGAAAACGTTACTCATAAAAAGATTTTTAAAAGCTACCATTTAATAAGCAAAATAAAACAAAGCCTTGTTTTTTATGATACAGAATGGTGTCCGCCTTAGAGTGGAAGTTTCAATTCAAATTTAGACACACATTTTAAAATTTTGGTGCTCTGATTTCATAAAGAAGGAAAATAAGTACATATACGAGTTGTTCATTAGGCTATTTTTTCCCCTAAAAAGAAAGGAATTTAATGACTCAAATTGTTGATTCATAGTAATTTACATTTTATTTGTAACGTTTCAGTTTTTATTAAATTGCTTCTACATACATACGATTTAGTCAAACAGTTTTGGTAGATACGTTGCACTGATATTGGCTTTGAGTTCCGAAATGAGAATGCAATAGACATTTTAGCACGTGTGTAGCAATACCAACTAGGCTAATGCACAGCTTATTAGGTCACAGATGTTTCATCAAAATCGAAATTGGTGAAAATATTTAAGTGTATAAAGAAATATCTAATACTGATTTGTCAACATTAGTTTTTATTCTAACACATGTACAAACATGTTAGTAAATTTTAGATTTCACGCAAAAATCATTAAAAATAACAGTCCCAGTGCTGTAGGTTTCGTGTTATGAATGAATTATTGCTACAGTTTAAACTTATACTTTTCTTGCATTACATTAATAATATAATTGAAAAAAAAACACTCGTGTTTTATGCTGACCATTCATAATCATGTTCTGGTTTTAAGATTTAATATACATATAAATCAGTTATTACAGCTATATAAAAAAGTCGTGACATGGCGAAAATAAAATAATTTTACCTTCTTCCTTATCTTACTCGGGGCACATACTTCAAGCATATCAAAATGGTGCATGTAATATAAAAAATGGTAGGAATTGTATTATATTATTAGGCCTATGCGTACACTTAAACTCGCAATATTTTTGGGCTAGGGGCTGCATCAAACTAGTTGTATTGGGATTTTTGTCAGAGTTTAATTGTAATATTTTAAGATTATTGCACGTCGCTTTTTACTGTGGGTTTATTTGATTCCATGTCGTGGATATAACTCTTCCAAATAATGTTGACCTTATAAAGTTTAGTTTTATGAAGGTTAGAGGAGTCAAATCTTACTGAGGCGTTTCAATCTAGTCATAGTGATTTATTCTCTGAATAGGTACAATGTAATACACCTACATATGTAATGCATCTGGCAATGTGTAACATGTATTTGGAAAAACATACCATATGTAATACATCTCATCTGTAAATTATATAAAATTAATAGCACTTCAAAATTAAAATCTAAAAAATTAAAAAAATAATTTAACAAACTGGAAAACAAACTAAATGGTTATTTTAATAGAATTTGCGTTCTGAATTATATTTTCCCGCTAACTACGATTGTTATCTATTGTTCTATACTACGAAATACGTGTGTATAAGGTAAAGATAAAACGATCATGAAAACATAAAACTTCAGCCTATGGAAAACAGGGTGTTTGGAGATTGTTTTTTGTTGGAGAGTTTACAAAAAGAAAAATATTTGAAAATACATACAAAAATGTATATACTGAATTTATATACTGAAAAATATATGTAAAAAACAACAATAATATATAATTCGAAAAAATGTTTGATAAAACCTCAATCTTTAAGACCGCTTTAAAAAAAGGTGCTGTAATCACTTAACATCAACCATTTACAAAAATCAACTATCCATAGCCATAATAACCTCCCTACAATAATAACCAGATCGGCTTATTTGACATTTAGTTAAAAGTCATAGGTCATTTATTCAGCCAAATGAACCAAATACAATTAGCGTTAGCTATGTCAATATAGTCAATAGTTATAGTTATAAAATGGATCAAGTATTAGTCATCGAACAAATTTTCTCTATTTCACAATAGATAATATTGCCATAGCACTTTGTAAAGTGTATACAAATCGTAAATTTATTATGATAAAACAATATTATAACTACAATACATTTTGTACCCATTACAACAATTTTATTGTTAAGGCTCTAGTTAAACGCGTATAAAAAATATTCAAAGAATCTAGAACTTTAACATGATACAATATTATGACTAGTTTAAAAAGTTGGTTGCTACATCTGGGATGATATGAAAAGATGGATGTCTTCTAACCACATTAATATCTCGTCAATATCACATTCTCCATTGATTCCTTCCTCATGTTCTTCAATTCACTATTACTAGGGGAGATTTATTTAATAACTGTACAAACCTATAATTATAAGGTAAAATGGGATCGAAGTTTATTTTGGTTAGGATAGTATGATTACATGTATGTATTAGTGAATGTATCACACATATCAGCTAAATGTATCTTGGACCATGCATAAGATGATGAACATTATTAAGAAAAAAACTGTTGAGATTAAGTTTACTATAAACATTCCTTCTGGATACAAATAAAAAACATAAATAATAAAGGTCTTAAAATACTTGAATTGGTGATGACTTTTGTATAGGCTATCATAATTTTAATTAGTATTTTATAAGAGTTCCAATTATAGAATATAAATCATTTTAGTAAAATATAACTAATAATGGGATAGCTTAAATCGAAAAATTATCATTCCGTTTTAACCATTGATTGTCGGAGGATTGAAGGACAAAAATATAACAAATATTTATAAAAATATTTATCATGTTAAGTTCATAATTATTGGTTTTTAAAAAGGTAGATCAAATGTTCAATTGTATGATACTCCAAAAATCTTTACAGTATGTTTGTCAAAATAATAGAATTAAATTGTACAGCTATTATTATGCATAAAAAATAATTAACTTATATGTAAATAATGATAAATATCAGATCATTTATTAACTGCATCAAGGTTATGAGAAAGTATATTATAGCAGTAATGAAATGTAGTATAATGCAATCTTAAAGAAGTTATTGCAAATAGAAAATAAAATTATTCATTTTAAGTTTAAGAATTATTTAATCATATTTGTATTTTGGAAATTTGATAAAAATAAGAGATGAAACAACCCTTAAAATAAGTCAAAATATTTACAAATACTCAATGACGATGAGCACCAAATTTGGTTGAAATTGGTAAAGAAAATACATAGGTTTTGATACACATCATATTTCAATTAAATTCGCAAAATATTAACATTTAGATATTAAGTTTATTATTTGATATTAACATTTGAGTAACCAGTTCTCTATCTAAGTACAATTTACTTAGAAAAACAATTTACAAAAATAAAGACAACGAATATTATTTATTGTTCATGCAAACATTTAACAAAACTAAAATGAGTCAGTTGGTGAAAGGACAGTTTTGTCCAAAAAATAGCATTGGCTTCAAAAATAATCAACATTTGTTTGAAGAATTAGCTGCTATTAGTTCAGCTGAGAGTTTTGACCTTGAATATCAGCTGGAAACGGCTTTATATCTTTTTAACTTAATCTGTTAGAAAACTTAAACCTTTCACATACTTACAAAAAGTAGTTTTCATGCATATATATGAAAACTACTTTTTGCAAGCATTAACATTTTTCGACCTCTACCAGGGGACAACCCATGATGAGAAGGTATATAATCTTTAATTTAAGCATAGGTTGAAGTACACGTAATTTTAAAGGGCTGACCAAGTTGAGTTCATTACCGAAAACCGCGTCTCAAAAGGTTCATCCGTTACAAAATGGCGGTTGTCCAAAGTTCTTGCGGAAGTACCTGCACTGGCCTTAGAAAGGTTTTCTGGGCAGGTGAGTAGTTTCTATTTGTCGGGTTGCTGTTGGCAAGTTGAGACGATTAGGTTGAGGTTTTAACTGCCAACGTAAGCTAAACTTCAAATATCCATCCGTCAATTACTCCTTCCCTAATTTTTCTGGTTGTTTAACGAAAAAAATACCAATTTAATGACAAGATTCCAGAATAATTTCACTAAGGTTTGCTTATAGTTCGAAGAAATTCGATTATATTATAGCTATCCATACAGCTATCCATTAATTAAAAAAGAACTAATATTATATATGTGAAAGCTTAAAGCATGTCTCATAGTCAATCATGTAAAAACTATTTGATCAATTGAGCTGTTTATTTTCCATGAATAGAGCCGGTATACCACAGACCCAATGGACTAAGTGTGTTTTTTTTTAAATATTTTATTACCCTCCTAAGGATCTGCCCTGACGTTTTCCAAGATTTGTATGTTATTATTATGAATTAACTATATAAGGAATCAAATTGAAATTGATATGAGTTCAAATTGATTTGAATTGGCTTGTCAAATTGATACAAGCTAGGTGTTTGAAAATTATATTGTTGGTGATTTATAAATATTATAGACGTTTGATAGTTACTATTTTATACAAATATATAGAACACAATTCGTCTCTTTTGCGGTATCTTCCCCCTGCGAAGCACGGGTATTGCGGCAAGTACAAAATATGTTTGTTAAATTCATTATTTAAGTTGTCCATTATTTAGGACTGTGTATAAACATAAAATCAAAATGGCAAATATTTTTGAGACTTTTATTAAAATTTCCACAACCAGTTTAATCATTATTTAATTTGTAAAATCAATGAACAGCTATTAGCAGCTATACTATTGAACTATAAGATTTTGATTTTATTTAAAAATATGATGTTGTGTAAAATGTTGATTAAGAAACTCGTTTTCATACTGTGCGATAACTAGATGGTTAATCAATGACCTGCTAGTCAATTGAGGTGTTATAATATACATACAAAAAGAATGAGAACTAAATGAGAATCATACCATCTGTGGTGTTTCGTCCCAGTATGTCTGAGTCAACCATGGTTCTACAATATTATCTACAAACCAGTTCCGTCCAAACTGAAGATGCCCCTCTGGACACAGGATTGTATGAAGCCTCCCGCTTTTATACAACTCTTGCAGTCCGATTCTATCCTCCTTGTACAGTTCCGATTGAAACATGTCAGTTATTTCCTTATCTTGCCCCTTCGTGTAAAATCCAAACCAAGAAGATTCTCGTGGCACCACCGCATTATCTCGAGCAAATTTAACAAGCACTAAGTGTTTAAGCTTGAGTAGGTTCGTCCTGTATTCGGCATTCAACGTCTTTTCATTGTTTATGTCTGCGATGAATGTGTTTTCCTCAACGTACTTGTCATGGGTCATCGGGTCATGCCAATTTTGGTTCACGACAATGCTCTTTTTTCGAATATAATCCCAGTATAAGTGTTTATTTAAAACAATGCCCGGTAGGGATAAGAAACCTTTCCTCAAACCATAGTATCCTTGGTGTTGTGATCCAAGGGTTATCAAGTTGAACATTGGAGGGCTTGGGCATCTTTGTGCAACTGCTCTCAAAAACTGCCCACCCTGTGAGAACCCAACCGCATGGTAGCCCCGTCGAAGATTTGGGTCATCAGCGATCATGTCACAAGCTTGCTTCACCTGTTCGTTCACATCCATAAACACTGAGTTCTTAAAATCTGAATAACCACTAGTACCGATCTTCAACGACTTGACGTAAGCATAACGTCTTTTAGATCGTATCATTCTAGTTATACCCGACAAAGTACCGTGGTGATCGAAAATACCGTGCCAGAAAACAATAGGTGTAGCATCAGTTTTGTACTTTTCTTCTTCCTCATTACCAAGCACTGACGAAAAAATCAACACTGACAAGAGAGTAAAAAGAAACATAGCGAGTTGAAAAACCGAACGTTTCACGTTTAAAGCTTGCCAACAACTGTTTGACACAGCTGTTTGCAATTCACGTCATCATACTAATTTCTCATCAATCATATCCCGTGGAATACTGACTTGAAAAAAAATTTAAATGAATGTATGATAACATAAATATGTATATAATTTACTGGATGAAATTTTTTAAATGAGTTTACGGATTTCAATACATTAAGTTTAACAACATCGTATAACAACAGCAGTATTGACACTATTTTATATATATACGGTATCTAATTGTCTAGACATTTTTGTAGTATTGAGATATTTCATATGTATTTAATGGATAGCTTAACTCCTATTTATTTAACTCGTATCTATGATTACTATTAATTTATAACAATTTTTTTTATTATTTAACTTCGAATTTTTCCATTACTTCTTTGTAACATTTTTTTTTTAAATAATAAATGTGGAACATCTGCAAAGATTACTAATCATTAAATGCAAAACCTATACGAATGCAAAATCTTATACAAAACAAATACAAAAACACAGTTAAAGAGAAATTTCCCTTGGGACGTTGATGATTAAATTGTCATGTTGTAGGTAATTATGACACGATATAACCTAAGATTTCCACAGAATCTATAATTATCATTTTTAAGAGTTGTTAGCCTCCGTATTACGTTTGAATATTTATAATGGTTTAAATACCTGCATTCAGTAATCCAATGAGCTGCTTGTGGCAACTATAGTTTCGGTTCACAGGGAACCATCTTCAGGCCGTACAAGGCGTCGTTATTCACTTCCATATGTGAAGGTCGTCATTTAATAAATAAGTGCATAGAACACGAACACACGAAAACGCACACTGACACGGACATTTAACATTAAAAATACCGAGTACTCGGGAACACGAGACAGGTGACGCGACCGGGTGGAAGTTGTAGCTCGAACTCAAAACTGAATCAAACTCAAAACTGAGGGCTTGGCTTGAAGTAGTTCGAGCTACAACCTCCACCCGGTCGCGTCACCTGTCTCGTGTTCCCGAGTACTCGGTATTTTTAATGTTAAATGTCCGTGTCAGTGTGCGTTTTCGTGTGTTCGTGTTCTATGTACTTATTTATTAAATGACGACCTTCACATATGGAAGTGAATAACGACGCCTTGTACGGCCTGAAGATGGTTCCCTGTGAACCGAAACTATAGTTGCCACAAGCAGCTCATTGGATTACTGAATGCAGGTATTTAAACCATTATAACTATAATTATCTCTTATTTCACGTTTAAAATAACTTCTTGATCAGCATTGTACGTGTTATTAAATTTAGGCTACGGAAAATAAATAAAACAAACGTCTCATAACACGTAAAACATAGATTTACGCTTATACTGTCACCAACAAGACGGTAAATATACATTAAAGCTGGTAAGTAGTGTTAATTTCGATTGGACACTCCAATCATCATCAGACCCAATAGGCGAATGACTAGCTTAGATTGCTCTAATAAATATGAACAAAATAATTTGGAAATAAAAAATGATAAAAAACTAATACATAGACAAATGTAGGAGGGGTGTAAATACTATCTGGTAGTCTTGTTGTTTGTTTTGCTCTATAGACTAGAAAGACTTTTAGTTTTAAATAAAACTTTGATATAAAGAAAATCTAAAATGTAAATAGTAATTGTTATTAACATTTTTTTAGATTATTCTTTTTGTATTATATTTTGTATTTGAAGCCATTAGGAAGAGCCATACCACCAATACTGCCTATTGTGGTATAACATGGTAATAGGTACATGTCTTAAACCCAAATCTATAAAGGTTCCTGAAGCGAACAGAACTGTGCAGTCACTGATAATTATCATGGTTGTAAAACAATGTTATTTGAACATATTACATTTAAGTCTTTAATCGTATGTATTATACTTGTAATTTAACAATTTAAGCTAAATTTAAACAATCATATGAATATCCCGGCTGTTTCAATAGTTATTTGTGTAACTAGTGAGCAAAGTGACACTTTGCTGCATACGAGAGCAATGTTGGAATGATCTCGAGTGCAGCAAAGGCCTTTTGCACTCGTGTTACACATTATATTTTTCCTACAGTCACTATAAAGCATATAAATAATAAGTCTTTCAAACACTATACAACACGTTTTTAGGTTCAGCTTGCAACACAAATACCGGTAGGTGCCCTAGAGAAAGTAGTCGCCGGTCCGTACCACTCCGCTATTTTTCCTCGGCAAGCAATGTGCTCCACGACTTGAGAAAATAGTTCCGTATGTTTTGCAATTTGAAGGGGTTTCCGCGCCTAAAAAAATGCTTTGAAGGTATTTTCTTGTTTATTAAGATCGTAGGAATGTTTTAAAAACGTTTAAAAGAAAAGTCCAGAAAGTTCAGAAATACCGAAACTATAAACACGAAATGACAGGTTAAATCGTAGTTATAATAGTCAATCAGCTGCTTGTATTATTATCTTTAAGTGTTGCCAACCTATTTCCAAGAGTACACGAATTACGTGCATAATAGAACCACACCGTTTTGTGTTGTTTCGTTGGAATCCTGATGTGTGCCAAAGTATAAACCGTACGACAAAGTATAAATATGCAACAATTAGTAGCTTTGTGTTTTCATAAACAGTACAAGGAAGCCAACTTTGTCGGGTGACTGTAGGAAAAATGCTTTTATACGTTATTACTTCAAATCGGTTGATCGACTAAGTATAATGTATGTGGTATTGAGCAATGGGGTAAGTTTTTTTTTGTATCAGCTGATTGCCTTTTATTACTATTATATACCTTCTAACACAACATTTTGTTTATTTTCATTAAGTTATTGAAATAGTATAAAACCCAATCCAAAAAACACAATTTCAAGCTTTAGAATTAGCAAAATATTAATATTAGCTCAAGAGCCAGTTTTGAACATTTTTTCGTAATTAATCAAATTTGCAAACGGAAATTTATGAACGTCATGGGAGATTCATTAAAACTGATTGTATGTTTACATAAAAAACATGACCTCTGACTTTTGAAGAGAATCTCTGAAAAAGACTGTAATAAAAATAAACAAAAAGTTCTGTTATAAATCAGGAACATGCAACCACCTGATAGGAAAATAAAACTCGATTCTTTACTTGATCAAATGCCTATAAAATATACATAATTCTTTGCAGATTATTATGTTTCCACTAATACGCCTTTAAAATTAAGATCTTAGCTGGGGAACTTTCTGTATTTAAATAAATAGTGGAAATGTTACGCAGAATTCACCCTCAGAATATCACAATTACCAAAATGATAACAGATAGCTTATAGGCCCTTCTCTAAAAGAAAATCTGAGAGGAGAGGATGCTGTGTTTTTGCTTCAAGTCGGAGGATATTGGTAGTCTGACTAACTGAATTTTGTCGGAAAATTCAAAACAAGCCCAAACCCAATATCACATGTATTTTTTAATAATCTTTTGTTTTATGTTTCTGTATGCCTATGTTTTATCAGAAATTTAACTAAATGAAAACGTCAAATCAGTTGAGCTGATAGATTTTCCTATCAAGCAGCTTTTCTGGAACAGTTATTAAATTGACTCTAAATATTGAGCTACTAAATATAAAATTGACTCCTATATAAAATTGAATGACTTGTCATTTTTACCCATAATTGGTAAATTAAGCTGGTTTCGACCACTTTTCCTTCATATGGTGCCCTTATTTATTGTAAATGAACAACATGTGTAACTAGATTGAATTACCAAAGCAACTTAGAAATAATTAAGTAACACATTTAAACCAAACTCTTTTGGGGGGATTGGTTGAAAATAAATTATGTGTGCATTTTTTTGGATAATCTCAAACGTTTGACAAATATAAATAAGCTTATCCAACCTACTCTTTCGTGCTCGCCTGTGCTCCTTCTTTTTTCGCTTATTGGGGACGGGCAAAGGCGAGTGTCGGAAGTTAAAATGTATCTAACCACCAGCAAGCATGTTCCGAAACTTTCGGCCAAACATTTGGTGATAGTGTACTACACTAGCACTACACTACTATTGTAGGTAATTTGTTAGGTTGATACGTTGTATATACCAACTATCACAGTGCATTTAAAAACACTAATGCACGTGCTACGCCTGCACGTTTGATGGAATCTCAACTATACTATTTAGTTTACTAGTACTAATACTTGTAACTGTACAAGTTAGTTAGATAGTTTACTACAATTATAATATGTATGAAAACCCTTTCAACTGTCTCATTGCTGGGTGTAATAATATTGCAGACGAGAAAGGCGTCTCTGAGCTTCGATATTCTTATATTGAGCCAATCCGTGTGTTAGCCTGGCAAAGTTCCAAACATTTTCCGTGGATTTGTATTATTGTTCTTTCATCATATTTTTAACTATTTTATTTGATTCAAATAATCGAATGAAATTCACTAACAAATAAAACATATTTATAAAGTTAGTAAATGTATAAATTCAAATATAATATTTTTATAATAATACAAAAGCATGGCCTCGCCAAGTTTACAAAACTCAAGCGAGGTCCAATTGATGCACAAAAAGTAACAAACAAAAATGTTCTTTCTTTTTATTTTTTACAAAAAATGTCTAGCAGTAATAATTTATTGGTGGTTTGTGACAGGGACCTGTCTATACAGAATCTATGTCCACACATTTAATGTCTTTTGAGTTATACATTGAATGTTCTGTTTATGTTTCTATTCAGAAATAAACCAAAATGTGTTCAATTGTGAGAGTAGTTGTAATTCAAGGGTATCTTAGGTTTAAAATATGAACTATAAAATTTTATTTCTTTGAGTAAATAAAAGAAACGTCTTATAACACTTAAAACATATATTTACGCTC